CACGAGCTTGTGTTCCCTAGTTAATACGATGTAAGTCATAAGTAATTGGAATAATGAAGACTTTAAAAAATAAAAACCATGTAGAAAAGGTATGTTGCATATATGATGAAGAAGCATACTTTAGATATTTGTCCACTTCCAAACTATTGTGTAGGACAAACCAATGAGCCAATTCACGGTCAGCTACGGACACATCAACAGCCCTGGGGAGTTGACCAAAAGGACGAAGAATTTGAGTGAAGATCGCCAACCCCGGGCCATTGGCACCCCCATCGTAGTTCCTTTCTTCCCGGTTGAACACCGTTTCAACTCCATGCAAATACATTGAACAAAACATCGTACACTCTTTGGATATGTAGGCCTCCGCAATGGATCCTTCTGGACGAGCTTTATTGCCCACAAATCCTTTAAAAAGTCCGAGCATCCTACATGTAAACATCGGCCTGATCGTCAGTATGTTCATATTGAACTATAATTACATGAAAAAAGTTTTGACTCGTTGTTATACCTCTCAATAGGATACATCCATCGATATTGGACAAGCCCTCAAAGCCAAGTGGACCATCACATCAAAAAAAGCAGGTGGAAAAATCTTTTCAAGCGTACAAAGTATAAGTACGATTTGTTCTTGCAATTTCTCCAAATCAGTCACCCTCAATGTCTTTGAGCACAACTGTTTGAAAAAAGTTCCTAACTCAAACAATGTGGTCCCAATCTCGGTAGGAAGGTATCCTCGCATCCCAATGGGAAGAAGTCGTTGTAGAAGGACATGACAGTCATGACTCTTTAGGCCAACTAACTTACCACCATTCGCGGTGACACAATTGGATAAATTTGCTGCATAGCCATCAGGGTACTTAATCGATTTCAAGAAATCAGAAACCCTATTCGTTCTGCCGGGGACAATGTGTACAATGTCAGAGGCTTCTGGAAAGAGCCATTCGCATGCCTTATCAAGTGTAACTCCTTTCGTATTCGCATGTCCTCCAGATCCAAACGTGCTTTGTCGGTGTCCTTGTTCTTGCCATCTATGCTTAATAGTGTCCCGAGCAGATTGTCACATATATTCTTCTTTATGTGCATGACATCAAGGTCATGTCGAAGCTTAAGTGTTTTCCAATAGCGTAGGTCGAACAAAATGCTTCTTTTTGTCCAGTTCGGAGTTGGATTTTTAGTCCGTTGTCCTTTTTGGTTGGTTGGATCCTTTCCATACGGGCTGTACGTTCCCAAATTAATTTGCTCCAGTATTTGTTCCCCCCGATAACTCCACAGGTTTGGACCGATTCTCAATTTCACCGTTGAATAGCTTACTTCTTCGCCAATTATGGTTCTTAGGTAAGTACCGCTGAGCACCCATATACTTTATCTTATTTCGCAATTTGTGAGATGATGCATCCATGTTACAATTAGGGCAGGCCAGGTAACCTTTTGTACTCCAACCAGACATGGAACTATATACAGGAAGTCGTTGATGGTCCACATGACTGCTACATGCATTGTAAATATTTAGTCGTTTGAGGCATCATATGTTTGCACACCATGCTCCCACAGATTAGTTAATTCTTTTACTAATGGTTGCAAGTAAACATCGATGTCCCTTCTAGGTGCGGATCGTCCGGGAATAAGCAATGACATCATGACAAATGGATCTTTCATACACTTCCATGGGGGTAGATTGTAAGGCATTAAGATTACAAGTCAAATGTTGTATGATGTACTCATATGTCCAAATGGATTAAAGCCATCCATGGCAAACCCTAGCCTCACATTCCGAGGATCCGCAGAGAACGTAGGATGCAGCCTATCAAAGTCCTTCCATGCCTCACCATCAGCTGGATGTCGCAATACTCCATCATCCACACGCTTATCTTTGTGCCAACTCATATATGTAGCTGTTTTTTTCGACATGTACAATCTCTTCAACCTCGGTGTCAAAGGAAATTACCTCAATATTTTGTGTGGAATTTTTTTACCCTTATTGTCGTTAAACTTGTATCTAGACTCCGTACATGTAGGGCAATTCTCCAATGTGGCGTTGTCCTTCCAAAATAAAGTACAATCATTCTTGCATGCATGAATGGCCTCATATCCCAAACCCAAATCACGTAAGAAATTTTTCGCTTCATAAAGGGTCCATGGAACATTTTTATCACACTTTGGTAGAATGTCTTTGAAAACTTGCATAACCATATTGAAAGATTTGTTGCTCTATTTATTGTACACCTTCATATGAAGCATCTTAATTACGAAGGACAAGATGGAGAACTTTTCACACTTTGGATATACTTTGCGTTGAGCATCATCGAACAACTTCATGAACTTCAACAAATTGTGCCTCTCCGAACTAGTAAATTCTTCGTCGATATGATCATCCATGAGACCACTCATGTAAATCTCTTGTAACATGGTTAGAAATTCACCCACATTTTCGTGATTGGTTGTCATTCCAGCTCGGTTGGTTTGAGTATCATCGTTTCGCATAGTAGGATGAGCACGAAACATGGGAACACGTTCCCCGTGGTGGACCCAAGTTCGATAAGAACATGCGATTCCTCTTCGAATCAAGTGCAATCGTACAACATGTCGACGTAATTTCGTGTCGCTCAAGCAATCAACACAAGGACAACGGATTTCATCCTGCTGCCTTAAATTCTTCGTAGCGAACTCAATAAATGACTGAACACCTTGTACATACTCTTTACTTTTTAGCCTATCTTTTATTATTATCCAACTCTTGTCCATTATTGGAACAGTACATATCAAGCGAAGATGAACCTGGGAATGGGCGGCAACTTGGAAAAATACTCTGTAATGGAAGAGAGCTTAAGTAAGTTTAGGGGTTCGATTAACATTGCTTTTTGAAGTGAACAAAATAGTAATAACAGATCGGGATGTTTTGCCTATTTGTCAATTGCATATAGTTGGCTAATTTCACTACTAACTTGGCATGTATTCACATGCAAATGTGGCAGACATTCACAATTCTATGTGAAGTCATCTTAGAGGGAGACAAATAATTGTAACCAAATTTAAAGAGAAATTAAATTTGATGTTCAATATAAACTTTCCTTGAATAGATCTCAGCAAATACATTTTGTAAACCTAAATTTTATGAAAATCAGATGGATAAAACAAAAGTAATGAAATTTTAAAGTTTTGAAACATTTAAAAAAGTAAAGTAATTGGTGTATAATAAACTATTAACTTAAAATAGACTATTAACCAAAAAACAAAAGTAATGAGACCACTCATGTAAATCTCATGTAAATAGACTATTAAGTTAAAATAGTTAAAAAAGTTAACAAAATCTAATAATCAATTACTAAAATCCAAAATTCAAACCCAACAACTGCTAGTAATTACATTCTACATTTGGTCTAGAATGTTCGAATGTGATATATTTTTACATAGATTAGCACCCCTTTATGAATTCTCTACTTTCTGATGGCTTTCGTGTTACATTTTGGTCTACAGCAGAGATGGCTCAAGCCTATTGAGGGCCTAGACAAAAAGAAAAATGTAGTTAGAATATGGCTTGGTGCCTTACATTGGCCATTGCCATTCTATTATTGTCCCCATTCTACACCAGCATAGTGCAACTTCTTGTGCAACTTAGATTGTAAAGTTAGGTGCTTTCAGAATCAACGGTATGGTTGAAAGGCTACAGCTATCCCAGGAGATCAGAGAGATTATTTTTCGTCTAATTTCAACAAATTCTGAGTGAAAGGACGACCATGTTCTTTAATCGTCATATTGACCAGATTATCCTCTATTGTTTCTATGGAGCTCCAAAGGTTTGCACTAGAAAGATGTGAGAGTATTTAGGCTATTGATTAATCACACTTTCTAATCCTGATTTCTTATGTGTTGGCCATAGATTTCTCAACTGAGGCTAACTTTTAAAGAAATTATTTTCAACTATAAAAAGCAACGACAGTGTAAACCTCAAGTTTTTCGTAGTGTGTTTGTTGATTGGTCATCAGCAGGCCATTATGGGGTATGTGTTCATAATGTATATGTTTCTCCGTTGTGGTTATCGAAGGTAGTTCTTTATTTTTTGAAATTTATTCGTATGCAATAAAACTTATGCATTATATTTCCTTTGACCTTGGATTTCATTGAACTTGGACACAAAAAGCTTGACAAAATTTGTAACCATTCTTTTAATGACGACTTTATACATATTAGAGTCTTATAATCACTTTTTAAAATCATTTCTTCTTTCATGGGGTTAATGTAGTACATGATTTGCCCATAGCTTTTAAATTCATTGGTCTTCTTTCATGGGGTTAATGGAGACAAATGTTGAGTGGCTATTGATGATGACATATATAATAGTATTAGACTCCTACTTGTTTTTATTTTTTTCTTATTTTTATATATATATAAATAAATTTGTATATGGTTTTAGCCACTCCAGTGACGTATTGTCTCACTGTTCTGAGATTAATAGCTTGTTTGGGGAGGCATTGAACAAGATGCACAAATGGAGTCCCCTACGGCTAAAGGTCAAAATTGCATGATCATATTTTTCAAGGTTAATGACTTAGGAACAATCTTTAATTACTACCCGTGTCTACGAATTCTTCAATTTTTACATTTTCTCTGCTTCATTTTCATGTAAATGTCTTCCCAAAATAACATGTTACAGTATTAACCAAGGGCAATAATAGAGATAGAGATATGTTAGATGCCCAAACTGTCGAGCAATATAAGACAGCCCGAAAATCTAAATAAAAAAAATGCTCCAAATTACTAAAAAATGAATTTAGAAATTATGTAATACACAGGATTTAAGAGTTCAGAAATAGAGCAATAAAAGATACAATGTGCACGAAAGAGGGCTTAAAATAGGGTCACCTCTAGGGCACTCGTACTTGCACCATTATCCTAGCATGGCTAGTCTTCCTCTCCATGGAGGCCCTCTTGGAATTCAGGTTCATTCAATGATCCATAAACCTTCCTACATACCAAGTTCTTCCAGGTTTAGAGGTATGTATGGACAAAATGGATGGTTAAGGCTTCCTATTGACCAACAGCCGACTATGGGGAAGCTAGCAGTACATAATTATCAAGCAAGTGCAACAACCAAACCGTCATCCCAAGGTGGGATCGGGAGATTTGGCATAGCAAGGATAATGACTGGTTTTCCAGCTGATGAGGTGATCGGTGGCAGTTATTGGTGGGCAGGTGGTGGTGTTGGTGGTCACTTGAAGACTAATCAAGATAAGATGCAAAAGCTTGACTTGTCCCTCAAGCTCTAAGTGATTTTTTTTAAGTAATCTCATTTATATATTTGATCCTCCTCCTACCTCAGTTTGAGATTTGGTTATAATCCTTCTTTTTTTTTTTTTTTTTGAGTAATATTTTTGTATATTGATCATAGAAAAGTGTTATGAAATTTGGTTTCTTTGTTCTTGATTTGGAACTATTCAGCCCATATATCTGTTGCTCTGTGTGTGTGTGGTGTTGGGAGTAGATCTTCTTTCAAGGTATTTTGGAACCGCTTGAAGAAAAAACCAAGTATAGTGTTAAGCATCATTTCTTTCTGTAATAAGACTGCAAGCATGTAGTTGTTACCTTCAAGAGCAGGAAACTGGATGAGACCAAACATAGAGCTAGAACAGGTCATGTAAAGAGCAGCACGAATAAGAGACAAGCGGCGTGTCAAAGAACCTACGAAATGGATGCCCTAGCCTTCCTCTCTTTACCTTAAAATGCAGTAGCAAGGACATATAGACTTTAGGACCTGGCTTCTCGAAAAATGTGTGTGTGTGTGTGTGTATTTTTTGTTCATTTATGTTGGGTCAGTCTATCTATCTACATCTAAATGTATAAATGTTGGAACTACATTTCATTGTTGTACTTCCATCTCTAAATCTAGAGGAGATGTAGTAGAAAACATTGTAGAGAGCATTGATACCTTTTAGAAAGCTACAGACTCGAGAAACAGAGGCACATTTGGTGATGTAGTTCAACAATCCAAAATGGAGAATCCAAATCCACAATCCGAAATTTCAACCAAACCCATTTACGAAATCAGAAAAAGCCCTAAAAAATTGTTTACAAAATAAATGGAAAATGAAAGAAAAAAAACATGTAAATACCCTACTTGTAGTGTGAGAGAAGGAGATGTGAGAGACATCGATAAACAGAGATACAACCAGACAGACCCAGATCGACAGAGAGGGAGAGAGACGACAGACACATACCTGTAATCAGTGGTGGGGCCGATTTGCAGTGGCTGTGGTAGCGAGCGCCGGTGGCCTGCGATGGTGATGATCGGTGGTGGTGAGCGACGGGTTTGGTATGGACTGCTCTGTATGTTGATGTTGGTGTGTGAGACAAAAGAGAACAAAAGGCGCCAATATTAATTATTTTCCCTCTAAAAAAATTTCGAAGCTTTAGTAACTAAACGACAATTTGTCGCCACATATCCTTAACGGCGACTAAAAATTGGTCGCCAAAAGATGCTTTTTTGGCTACTAAATTAAAATTTTCGTCGGCAATATTGAATATACAACGACTAACCCAGCTTTAGTCGTCAAAAATTAATGAAAAATATGCCCATTTTTGGATGACAAAAATGTTTTGTCGCAAAATGAAATTATATGGCAACAAAATCAAATTTTAGTAGCCTAAAATGGTAACAAACAGCGACTAAAGATAAATTTGGTCGCCAATAAGGCTATATGGCGACTAAAATAATTTAGTAGTTAAAAGATCAATCAATGCCGACTAAATCAGGTTTTTTAGTCGCACAATGTAATGTTTTTGGCGACTAAAATTGGTTTGGTCGCCAATTTTAGTCGCCAAACGTGCATTTTCTTGTAGTGTTTTTTAATTAATTCTGTTAAACAAAAAGTTATAACAAAGAAGTATTTATAATTTTTCAAATCACGAAAGACAATGTATACTTTAAACAAATCTCAAAAAATATATTTATAATTTACCCTTTAAAAAGGGAAAAAAATTGTAAAATAACAAAAACAAAAGTCAATCATTAGTCAAAGTTAGGGATTTACGTAATCCTAGCATAAGCGGTAACTATACACCAAAAAAACGAATCCACGTCAACAAATTCGCATCTGCCTTTCTCCTCCTCGCCCTCTATAAATACCCAAAAACTGTCAGTCATTCCAAGTCACAACATAAAGTGTCACGTAAATTCCATTTTCAATTCTCACTGTAGAAACATTCCACAATTACAAAACACAACAGAGACAAAAGAAATAATAATAATAAAAATTCGAGGCCGAATCTCATGAAGTTCTTCAGAGAATTCGGGTCGTTTTGTGGTGCTGCCACCATGGCAGCTGAGCCTGCAGCCGCTCCTCTGCCACAGAAAGACGTGGCAGCGCCAGGGAAAAGCCAGGCGTCTTCTCGGAGGAGCAGCCGGCCAACGAAACCAAACTCGACGGCGAACTGGAAACCGAAACTTTCGATGATTTCAGAGGACGGCGTCGTTGTCTCAGACAATAATGATAGGAGAAAGACTAAAAACACGGTTAGGTGTCAGAAGAAAGCGTCCGAGAAATCAAGATCATCGGCTACCGCTAGGTCTCCCAGCCACCACAATGATTACGGGTATATATCTATATCTTGGGATGGATCGATGATTCAAATTTATTTTTTTAAATTATCTTACTAATTATTAGTATAATATAATATAGTTTTTACAATTCTTGAGATGCAACTGCAACTGCATACAAATTTTTATTTTTTTATTTTTTGCAGGTATGATTCGGTGGCGCTTCCTGTGTTCTCGCCGACGCCATACTTATTTTGATTTGAATCGATGCTGCTTCTTCTTCGTTTGATACAGATAGTCGGTCGAAAATTCCAAATCTTTATGTTTGAATGGCTGATGAATAGATTGGTTGGTATTTGAATAGACTATATAATCTTTTACAAGTATTATTTTGATCCCAGTTGAAGCAAAAATATAGTATTTCTACATGCTACATTTTTTATGCAATCTTTTTGGTTGAGTTCTATGCTGTATAGGATAGAAAATGGAATGGTGAACCCAACTGCGTCCGCTATGGAAATTTGCGACCAGCCCAGTTGATGATATTAGGATCTTCTCCATTATATGATGATTGGAAATATGTTTATTTTCGTATCATAAATATTTATGAAAGAATCAAAACAATATATTTTAATTTTAAATTCATACACAATTAAGGAAATTGATTTAATAACTAAAAATGGTTAATTCTCTATTTTAATGTCTTAATCTTACATATTAAGACCGTGATTAGATCTTAAATTTGGGAATGGATTTTTTTTTTTAAATGTGAACGAAATATTTAAAAAAAAAAATCGATTTTGCTTTGCTTCCCTTCTCCATTTCCTCCTCAAGTCTCTCCTCAAATCCCTTCTCAAATCTTACCGTCTAAACACAACATAAAATATAATTTATAAATAAAAAAAATCAAAATACGAAAATTGATATTAGGACGGAATGAGTATTCAATTCAAATTTACACAACAACGTTTTTCGAAAGTTTAGGATCAACAACCAAAACCCATTATATTTGGGTCCATACTCATTTGGGCCTTCTAATAAAAATGATTTTTTTAGATGCCAGGATGGAATGAGTATTCAACTCAAACTCACACAGCAACGTTTTTCCAAAGTTTAGGGTCAATTACCAAAAACCCATTACATTTGGGCCCGTAGACATTTGGGCCTTCCAATAAACATGATTTTTTTAGATGCCTAATCATTTTTAATTTACCAAAAGAAAAGAAAAACATTATGTATAACTAATTTAATTTTCTTTTATTTAACCAAATCATAATATATGGCACAACTAGCTTTTTAGCATACAATCTATGCAATTGCCACTTTGGAAAAATTAGTATCACTTTTTAAAAAAATTGTTCAATATTCCTAGATCAATATTAGATGGTATTCCAAATGAGAAGTTATTGGTCTAAATCACAGGATCAATCACTTTTGTGTTAGAATTTAAGAGACAAAGTATTAAGTGTTAACCTGTAAATGAATAATTACTCTAAAAATATTGAATAATTTCTCCACTTTGAAACATATCTTTAAAATTACTTTGGAACATTATCCACACTAAACTAAAGACCTTACGCAACTTTTCAAGAAGTGTATATTAGTCTTGCCTCCAAATATATCAATGATTTTTTTTTTTATTTTTTATATATATATATACTGGTTATAGTAGCTTCGCTCAAGAAATCAACTCTAATAAGCTATCAAAAAGCCTACCAAAAAAATAATATTATTAAATTTTGTGTGAAATTTTATATAAATTTTAACAATGCATTTTGTACCAGCTTAGATCACCAAAGAGAGGGTTTTGATCCCAAATTTTTGGTCTTCGACTACATTCCAATCATACATGCCTTCCTTTTTATAGACTTTCGTATATACCAACTCATATGAATTTTTCCCCCAATGCTACTTATTGGGCCGTGTGGTCCTCTTTTCAATGCCTTTTTATAAGAGTAATATTAAAGTAATATGGGCCTCATTCCCAAGTCAAACCAATTTGATAGAGTAATATTAAGGGAAAAAATATACAAAGATTCTACAATTCTTTTTACAGCTGATCACCCAAAGTCTAACTTTTTTTTTTCTCTCTTTCTAACACCATTTAATGTAAAATATACAAAGATTCTACAATTACGAGTGGGCATGGCAGAGGCAGTAGGATAAATTCCAGTTTGGGCTTTAAAGGCTTGAAAGATGTTAGAAGGGTCCAGCCCAATTGAAAGTACGTATACAATCAATAATAATAGAAATCATTAAAAAATTCCATCACTAATAGTTCTAATGAATTGAAAAATATAAAAAATAAAAGAAAAAAAAAAACAAAAGAGATAACTATCACATCAAAGGAAGAGCCACCCCGTTAGTGCTCCCCTAATACTCCCTTTTTAGTACTCCCGAGCATTAATCCGGATACAATATGCTTACTTAAAAGTGATGTTTGGATGGTGAGAAATATCAAGAAAATTGAGCTTCGGTGTTGTTAGGAAATTCCAGACCTTGGGAGTCACTCCACTATTCAACCTTTTTATAGAATACCACTATTCAACCTTTTTTATAGAATAGAAATATAATATAATATTGTGCACTGCACAACATGTTGAGTTGAGTTTGAGCGCCAAAACAAAGTCTTACATTCCTACTTTTACCAAAATCTCCCTACCCAAGTTCTTATCTCCACCTGAAAACCAGTATTCATCCGTAAAAGCATCTCATCAATTGCTCCGAATACCACTTAAAGACACTTTTTTTTTTTTTTTTTTTGACTTACCCAAAAAAAAGAAAAGAAAAAAGAAGCACCTTATATTTTTAAAATTTTTATTTTTATTTTTATAGAATGTTTGTTTAGATTTTGTTTATGTGTACTCTTATGGTACATAATACAAATTTAAAAATATTGTACATTTTGCATAATGTTATGCTTAAATTTTGCATAATGTTATGCAGAACATTTGGTTTTTTATTTTAGTGAAAAAATTGATACCACTTAAAGCCACCTTATCCTTTTTTCCTTTTTTTTTGACTTACACAAAAATAAAAATAAAAAGCACCTAAAAAGCACCTTATCTTTTTTTATTTATTTTTTATTTTTATAGAATGTTTGTTTAGATTTTGATTATGTGTACTATTTATGGTACATAACACAATATTTAAAAATAATGTACATTTGCATAATGTTACATATAATAAAAATTGTAGAACATTTGGTTATTTATTTTAGTGAAAAAATTGATATAATATTTGGTTTTTTATTTTATCTATTGGTGACAAACAACTTAGTATTTTGACTTTTTTACTCTTTTTTTTTTTAGCGAAAAGTTAACTCTTTTTGCATGTTACCAAACAACTCCTTAAATTACATTTCTAAAATAAAAAGTAATATGAAAACTAAAATAGTTCGTTAATGTGAAATGAAAAATTCGATATCATGAGTCCAAAATAGTATAAGAAAATTATTAAATAATGTCCTTTTGTAACTAGAAAAATAAATGAAAAGAGTACCCAATTAGTGAAATAAGTAGTGAAATTTCACTCTATTTCAAATAGAGAAATCCAAGTTAAGTACTAAAAAATGCAACAATGAAAGGTAATATTAAAAATAGAGTACCTAATTTCAATTTGAGGGTTAGAATTTTGGATTGGAGGCAACAAATTAATAAAACTGAATCATTATGTCAAGATAGTCAAATTTCAATATTATGACAGTGAAATTTTATTCCATCATTTTTCAACGAGAAAAAAAATAAAGGATTTCACTTCCTCTATAACAATGGTGGCTTCTAACATATAAGAGATTATTGCAAGAAACGACTATGCCTTTTTTATTTATTCTTTTATATAAAACATTTATGTGAGTATAACAAGAAACAAACTATACTTTCTTTATAACAAAGATAATTGAACAACAATGGGTTTTAATGAGACAAGACTTGAGAATAAAGGACAATGATTGTTCCTTACTTATTTTTCAGCCTTTTTATAGAAACATTGATGTGTTGATGAACGATGATTAAATCCATGATAATCAATACAAGTAATAATGGTTAGGGATGATGACTTTATTCATAGTGATGATGGCAAGAAATGACTATACTACCACTTACAATGGTAAAGTCATGAAGGCAAAAGCCCAACATCTCTAGGCTTGTGCTGCATATATCTCTCTTTTTCATTTTTACTTTCCAAATTAACACATGACTCTTTAAATGAACAAGATTGATTAATAAAGAAGGTCAAAATTGACCATAATTAAACCACTAGTAGTGGTGGCCTGGAAAGGTGCCTTCTTTCCATACAATTGAGTAGGGCTTGACTCCTGGAGAGCGCGACTAGCAGGCCATTTTTCAAATGGTTAAACTGATTGTGTTGTACTTCGATCATGACTTTGATCCTGTGCTGGGGGTTGATGAATTCCTCTTTTGTTCTGGTAGTGAATCATTTCTTTTGAATTGAGTTAAATCTAGTCAACAACCGATTACTTTTGGGACAGGACCCGCGAATGTTATGATACCCCATGAAATATCCTTTTTTGATATTCAAAAAAAAAGAGACCATAATTATAATATAACACACTAAAAGATTTTCTTTAACTATAAAAAAACCTTAACTACCAAACTTATCCATTTTGCGAGTGTCACATGCTCTTTACGTGATGACTTGTTAAATTTTATAAAGACAAATTTGTCTATTTGGCTTTAGTATAAAAAAAGTTGCATGTTTTATTGTTATTTAAGCAATATTTCTTTTTACTATTAGATTTTATTGTTATTTAAGCAATATTTCTTTTTACTATTAGATTTTATTTAGGTCACAATTGAGGATATTTTTTTGAAGTCCTATCATACTTGATAAATCCTAAAAAAGTAATTTTTTATTTTTATTTTTAAAATTTTTAGTGATTTAAAAAAAATTCAGGTACTTTATAATCTAGAATGATCTTAAAAAAAAAAAAAAAAGTCATTAAAAAAAAAATCAAACCCCATTTAAGTTTTTCATTAACAAAAGCAACTCTTTTTTTTTTTTTTAGCATCCATCAAATGCATCAATTTTTTCCTCTAGCAACAACTTTTATGTAAAAAAAAAATTAAAAAAAAGGTGATCGGAAATTTAACTATAATACAATTTTCCTAACTTGATAAAAAGTCATAAATTGCCCGCTGCCCAAACCGTATTGACGAAACAAATACAGTATTGACATATACGGTCCTCGGATCGCAAACTGTTATCACTTTGTTAATAAATATACACAAATAGGAAGCGAACGGAAATTTAGAAGATGTAATAAATAAATAAAAATTAATAACAAGGTCTTCGGGTTTCAGACCAAGAACGAACACCAACAGCAACAACATCAACAACTAAAAACACGATACAATAAAGAATACATTCATTTAGTGCGCGAGAGAGAGAGAGAGAGAAATCGACAGATATTTACAGAGATTTTCGTCTGAAAGCTCTCTTCTTCCTCGATCTGTTCGACCCCTTTCTCTCCTTCAATTCTCTGATTCGAAAGCTCTAGCGATTGCCTCGTTCTTCGATCTCGTAAGTACTCTTTCAAAACCCTAGGGTTTCATTTCAATTTCGTTGTTTTGAATTTTTTGTTTTTCGGTTTTGTTAAATTGAAACACTCGCTGAGATTTGTGTTTTTGATTCCGTGCATTGCTTTGCTGACATATTGGTGTGTGATTCGTTGTTTTGTGTTTTTGGTTGAAATTAGGGTTTTGGGTTGGTGCGAAGATTGAGAGGTCTCAAGTGATTGCAGCATGACCATCGAAAGCCCCGGCGAAGGGGAGAATTAGGGTTTGCGTGGTTCGTGGGGCTGTGATTGGACCTTCCATGGGCGATGGCGGCGTTGCATGCGTGCCTTCGCAGCATATTATGGAGCAGTTTTCGATTTCCGAGACTTTTTGTGGCGTCAACAATGGCAAATTTAATTCAAAGCCGTTCAAAGTTACAGAGAGAAAGATGAAGATGAAGGTCAAAAGAGAGGAATTTCGGAGGAAGACAGAGTCCGGGAAGGGTGATTTCAGTTCTGAGAGGGGTAAGAGCAGCAATACAGAAGTTGAGAACGGTGAATTTTACAGAGATAAGGTTCCAAAAGAGGAAGTTGAGGAAGGTGAATTGGGTTCATTTGATAAATTTCCAAATGGGGAATTCATTCCTGGGAAGCCACGAAAATTTGAAATAAGAAGCGAAATCGAGAGGGGAGAGTGGCCAGTTGATAATTGGAGGAAATGGGAACTAGAAAAGGGAGAGTTTGTGCCGGGAAAGTGGCGGAAAGAATATACAGACAAGGGGGAATTCAGTTCTGGGAGGTGTCGAAGTGATGATGTGTCTGAGAAATGTAGAAAAGGGGAGCCCGAGAAAGCAGAATTCAGGTTGTGGAGAGGTTCTAAAGCTGAAATTGAGAAAGGAGAGTTCATCTCAGAAAGGTGGCATAAAAGTGAAGTGGCGAAGGATGATTACAGGTACCCGAAAATGCGCCGTGATGATTCAGCAAAGGACAAGAGATGGAAATGTGAACGAGACTGGACACCTACTACTGGTAAGTATGCAGCGGAGAAAGAATTCAATAGAAGTGGGGGTCTGCATTTGAAAAGGTCGTCCAGGTGGGAAACTGGCCAAGAGAGAAATACAAGGCTGGGTTCAAAAATTGTAGATGAGGAAGGCTCCTTTAAGACTGAGTACAGCAATGGGAAGAATCATGGAAGAGAATGCTCTTCTGGTAACCGGTTAAAGCGGCACAGTAATGATTCTGACAGCAGTGATCGTAAACATTATGGGGAATTTAGTGATTATAAATTCTCAAAAAGCCGGAGACTTTCTGATGATGGCAGTCGTTCCGTACATTCGGAGAAGTATTCATGCCGGCCTGTGGAGAGGTCTAAAAATTCCTCTTCCTCAAGGAATATTTTCTGTGACAGGTACTCTTCTAGACATTATGAATCTTCTTTGCCTTCCAGAGGAACTTATGACAAACATGGTGGTAGCCCACATCATTCTGAGTGGTCCCCACGTGACCGGGCCTGCCACTCTGATCACAGGGGTCGTAGTCCAGTCCACCGTGAGAGGTCTCCATATGATCGGAGCCGGCACTATGATCATAGAAACCTGAGTCCTAGCTACTCGGAGCGGTCCCCACAAGATCGAGGTCGACATCATGATCGTACAGATAGAACCCCTAACTTTTCTCCACTTGACAAGGGTAGTAGGCCCAATAATTACCGGGAAGCAAATCAAAAAACTGGAGGAAGTGACAAGAGATCGAGCCATTATGGAAATAAAGGGCAAGAAGAGAAACTTGATCAGAAAGATCCTCACCATAGAGATTCACATATATCGGCTAAAGCTTCTCAAGATAGAAGCAATTTGTGTGATGGTAGTGTATCAGTTGAGAAAAATGTTGATCATCAGTCTCACGTGGATGAACAGTCTCAAAATCAAGAAGCGCATTGCAAAGAGTCTCCTCAGGTTAATGGTACTACTGAGGAGCTCCCTTCAATGGAAGAGGACATGGATATATGCGACACACCACCACATGTGCCAATGGTTGTGAATTCAACAACAGGAAAATGGTTCTATCTTGATCATTTTGGGGTGGAATGTGGGCCTTCCAAATTGTGTGTCCTGAAGGTACTTGTGGAAGAAGGCTTTCTTGTGTCTGATCACTTGATTAAGCACTTGGACAGTGATAGGTGGGTTACAGTTGAAAATGCAGTTTCCCCATTGGTGACTCTCAATTTTCCTTCTATTGTATCAGACACTGTTACCCAGCTGGTGTGCCCTCCTGAGGCTCCAGGTAATCTGTTGGTTGATGTTGGAGATACTGTTCGATGTGCTAATCAGCTAGGTGAGGAAATGCCATCTACTTTTCCGGAACCAACATTTTCCCCAGCTGAGAATTCAGCTGTATTTGAGCCTTTAGAAAATCTCCACATTGATGAGAGAGTTGGAGCTTTGTTAGAAGGTTATAATGTTATTCCTGGCCACGAACTTGAGGCAGTTGGAGGTAGCCATTTTTTAATTTCCCTTTTTCTTGATTTTATGTACTGTAGTTTGAAATAGTTCAATATTATTCGTCATGTTTTTACGTTTGTATCTTCTTTTATTACATTATTCATGCTTTTGAAATTCTATTGTATTGCAGAAGTGCTCCAAATGACATTTGATCATCGAGAGTGGCAGAAATGGGGGAATTTTGAAGGTATGGGTTTAGGGCATTTTTTAAATTTAATTATCCTTTATTTTTTTGGGGAAATGAAACCTTTCCAATTAATCCGTCTGTGTTGATAACAGGCTTGAAACAAGTTCCACCTGTAAGTGATTTGGCATTTGTTGTTTTTTGGCATCCAATTTTTTAGCAATAGAATAACGAGCTTTTGGCTTAGTGCATATTTTAAGAAGTAGCAATTCAAGTCAATGGACTTGAATGTCAACAAAACACTGTAATAAGACTGTTTGTAAATCAAGTAAATGGACTTAACATCAATGGAACACTGTATTAAGACTGCTAAATTAATGTTCTGTTTTACTGGATTAAGGGCTTCAAATATATAAGTTTTTGTCTTGGCATAAACATTGCAAATTCATGCCTAATTTTTAATTTTATGTGACATTTAATGTATGAAAGTTAATGGCCCATTTGGTTTGTGCATTTTTAATAATATTTTTGTGTTTTTGTTTTCAAAAAATTTGAAAACACTAAACAAAAACTTGTTTGGTGCATGTTTCGTATTTAATTTTTGTAAAACCGTTGTCAAAAGAAGACTCAAAAAAGAACACAAAAATAAATAATAAATGGAAGCTCATTCTCACTTTGAACTCTATTGGGGGAAAAAATTTCCTTATCTTAAACTTATAACATACATGTTACCACTTAGATGTGTTCTGTATTTTTTTTTTGAATATTGTATGCATGGAGACATCTATCTTCTATTTTCTTCACAGGTTGTGTCAAAACACTTATTCTGGGTGTGTGCAGGCTTCACTTCGCATTGGTTTGACTCTCTGGAACAGCATGATCATAACACAGGTGATGGCTTATCCAGGTACCCTGAACTTGCAATAAAAGAAGCTACAGAAATGTTAACAGCTCTATCTGATAGGGATAGTGCCTTTGCCTGTGGTGACTCTAGTAATTGGTTCTCTAGCCTATGGTCGTGCAAGGGTGGGGATTGGAAGAGGTATGACGAAGATGCCCAAGACAGATCCTGGAAAAAGAAGTTTGTCCTCAATGATGGCTACCCACTGTGCCAGATGCCAAAATCGGGCTATGAAGATCCTCGAAGGCATCGGAAAGATGAATTGTACTATCCTTCTCACAACAGACAGCTTGATCTCCCACCTTGGGCATTTTCCTTGCCTGATGATTGGAGTGAGTGTAATGCTGTTGGCAAATTGAGTCAATCGAAACCTCCTGTTGTAAGAGGAGTAAAAGGAACTTTGCTTCCTGTCATCAGGATAAATGCATGTGTGGTTAAGGACCATGGTTCATTTGTGTCTGAGCGCTGCATGAAAGTCAGAGGAAAAGACAGATACACTTCAAGATCTGCTCGAGCTCACTCTGGAGCTAGTGATGTGAAGAGATCATCGGAAGAAGGTGGTGGTTCTCAATCTAAAAGTTTTTATGAACAAGAATTGCTGGGCTCTTCCAGGAGTATCACATCCGGTAATATACCAAAAGACCGTCTCTGCACAGCCTATGATTTACAACTACATTTAGGTGAGTGGTACTACCTTGATGGTGCTGGGCATGAACGAGGACCTTTGTCATTTTCAGAGCTGCAAGTCTTGGCAGATCAAGGTGTCATCCAGAAGAATAGCAGTGTTTTCAGGAAAATTGATAAAGTTTGGGTTCCAATTACATCTGCTGCAGAGGCTGCTGAAGCATCTGTCAAGACCCAACAAGAGATTATTCGAACATCTAATGATACTTCTGGAGTTTCTCTTACAGAATCAACAGGTGTTGCGCTTGGTGGAAATGGCACTGTTTCCAGTTTGTTTCACAGCTTGCATCCACAGTTTATTGGTTTTACCCGGGGGAAGCTTCATGAACTGGTCATGAAATCATATAAGAGCAGGGAGTTTGCTGCAGCTATAAATGAGGTCTTGGATCCATGGATCAATGCAAAACAACCAAAGAAGGAAATGGAAAAATACATGCATAATCAAGCTCTGATTTCAGGTATTGGAAACTCCTCCAGAGTTTTGTGAGAGTCCGTCCGTCTTTTGTTAAAGGAATTTCAGGATATAATTGATGAGAAATTCTTCTTCCTTCCTGTCTTCTATTATGATGTTCTTTTGGAGGTCATACCTTAAATCTCCCGCTGAGTATATCTAATTCAATGCTGCTTTTCATGCAGTTTATCCATGTCCATAAGTATATTCTCTTTTCATTTTCTTTTGGAAAGATAATTCTTGTCATGTTCATGTATAGTCTGGGGAGTGTGGTGGGATTGTTGGTTCAGGAATATAGAGCTAAGTCCAATGCATATGAATCACTAGCAGACTGTGTCCCCTGTTTTCTGTTTAATCTTTTTTCTCTAGCTAGGCCATCTATGTGGTCAAATTAGAGGTTTTGCAAGTTAGATGCTAGTGTTGTTTCTTTTATGGACCAGCCTTTGTGCCTTTCATTGCTCTCGCACATGTGCAGTTCTTGGTCTTCCTTGCGGATGTTTAAATTATTTTGTCCTCTACTTTCGGTTCTATCTAAAAGTTCTTACAAATACGTTCTTTTATTATTCCTCTTTTCAAATATTTCTCGTCATATGATTAACTTTGTTTGGTAGCATTATTGGATTTACCAATTTTTTCATAGGTATTTTTTGTTCCACCATGTTTCTAGTCCATCTTGCTCTAACTGTCTTCTGTTATTTTGTATGTGAGAAATTATTTTTAACTGTTCAATTAATATTTTTTTAATTTCTTCACTAGTTTGATGACCTTACATTGTTTGTGGGTCCTGCAATCCATATTGTGCATCTTGACAAACCAGCTGTTATGAGGATTTCTCTTTTTCTCTAATCCCTTTTCACAATTGGATGTCATGTTTTCTTTTGTAACATGCACATGATACTCATCTCAGTCTTTTTCTTGTTTGGGTGAAAATTGGAAGGCAAGAGAGGCAGGTTACTGGTTGATGGAAGCGAAGAAGGTTACGAAATGGAAGAAGTACCAGGAGTTCAGGAGGAATGGACATTCGATGATTTGTGCAGCAATGCTATTTTTCACAAAGAAGACAATGCAGGTTCTCAGATTGAGTCTGGAAGCTGGGGTCTTCTGGATGGTCATTTACTGGCACGAGTCTTTCATTTCCTTCGAACTGACGTAAAATCCCTTGTATTTACTGCTTTGACTTGTAAGCACTGGAGAGCAGTGTTCAAGTTTCACAAGGAAATCTCCAGACAGGTTGACTTATCATCTGTTGGCCCTAATTGCACCGACTCCATGATCTGGAAATTCATGGTAGATTTTCCTTGACTTATTTTATGTGTTTTTTTTTTGGTTTTTTATTTTTTTCATATAAATTTATTTTGTGTTTTCTTGCCTTTTTTTTTTGGGGGGGGGAGAATGGGAAATTTGTCCTCCGTCCAAGTCTAATGTTTCTGTTTTCTTGCAGAATGGTGGTTATAAGAAAGAGAAAATAACTTCATTGGTACTGCTTGGTTGCACCAACATCTCTTCAAGCATGCTTAAAGAAATTATTCAGTCGTTTCCTTCTTTATCTTGTATAGATATTAGAGGCTGCAACCAGTTTGGTGATTTGGCAGATATATTTCCAAATATTAACTGGGTCAAGAGCAGAGGTTCACATTCAAAATTAAGGAGTCTTAAACACATAAATGATAGAACTTCATCAGTGTTCAAAGGTCATAGTGGGCTGGATAGTCACATGGATGATTCCAGTGGACTAAGAGATTATTTTGAAAGTTTGGATAGAAGGGACTCAGCAAATCAGTTATTCCACAAAAGCTTGTACAAACGCTCAAAACTATTTGATGCTAGAAGGTCATCTTCTATCCTATCTAGGGATGCCCATTTGAGGCGTTGGGCCATCAAAAAATCTGAAAATAGTTATAAGAGGATGAAGGAATTTGTTGCTACGGGTCTGAAAGACATAATGAAGGAGAATACCTTTGACTTTTTTGTGCCCAAGGTACTACCATACTTGTTTTTTGCTTTGCTTTGCTTTGCTTTATGAGAAGTCTTTTTCTATATGTTTTTGGAAGCTCAATATTTCTCATTGGTCAGGTTGCTGAAATTGAGGATAGAATGAAGAAGGGTTACTATGCTCGCCGTGGTTTGAGCTCTGTGAATGAGGATATCAGTCAAATGTGCAGGGATGCGATCAAGTAAGTTTTAGGTTGCGTTTGGCTTAGTTTTGGAATTGTGATTCTCTTTTTGAAGTTGTGATTTGAGTGTGGAATTGTGAGTTGAGTTTTGAAAAGAGAAAATTTGTTTCGTTATGAGATTTGAAAAGAGTTTTGAAAAGAGTTTTTGAATTTTGAATTTTGAGTTTTTTAATTTTGAGTTGTATTTTAAATTTTTTGGATTTATTTTTTTAAAATATTAAAAAATGTTTAAGAAAATTTTATTTTTTATTTTAAATATATAATTTTTATTTATTTATTTATTATTTTAAACATTTTATTTTATTTTGTAAATATTTTAATTTTAAATTTTAATATTTTAAACTCAAAACACAACTTCATACTCAAATTGTAACAAAATACATAACTCAAATACATAATTCAAAACTTAATTTAAAAATTATTTTCAAAACTCATAACCAAACAAAGCTCTCGAAACTCCACACTACTTTCAAAACTCTATACTCAAATCATAACCAACACACAACAAAAAAATTAAAATATTTAAAAAAATATTTATAAAATAAAATAAAATATTTAAAATAAAAAAATAAAAATTATATATTTAAAATAAAATATTTTTTTTAGAATTTTTTAATATTAAAAAAATACAGCACATAAATGTATGAAATATAGTGCACATTAAAATAAATAAATAAATATTTAAAATATAAAATATTTACCCCAAAAAAATAAAATTAAGAAAATTTTAAAATATTAAAAAAAAAACAAATCCAAAAAATTTCAAAATATGACTCAAAACTCTTTTCAAAATTCATAACCAAACAAAATTTTTCTTTTCAAAACTCAATTCAAAACGCATAACTCAAAACATAACTCCACACTCAAATCATGATTCTAAAAATAATTTTAAAAAACAAAATAAAAAAATATTTTTTTTGAATTTTTTTCTTTTAAAATAGAGTTTTGAAAAGAGTTTGGTTTTGAGTTTTGAAAAAAGTTTTGAATTGAGTTTTTAGTTGTATTTGGTTATGAGTTTTGACATTAATTTTTGAATTGAGTTGAGTAATTTTGAGTTGTGTAAACGGTTTTGAATTTTGAAAAGTGATTTGAAAATTTTGCCTTTGGAATCATGATTCCAAAGGCAAACCAAACATAGCCTTAGTTTTTGTCTTTAGTGGTTATATGTGGTAAAAATTGGTTAATAACATTAGAAATGACTGCCATTACTTTAGATATGGAAACCACAGAACTTCCATTTTTAATGGAATAAATATCCTCTTGAGGTTGTGACTTAATTGTCATGACCGCTGAGAAAGGCTCCATGTGGAAGTTTCCAGTTAAAATATAGTTTGTTAGGGGATACTGCTAGCCTGTTTACTGTCATATGCTTTACCAACAATAATTGCTGGAAAAGGAGTGAAGAAACAAGGATTTGTCCACTTAAGTTTCACAACATACCTTCCGCATTTGTTGTTTTATTGCATGGGTGTATAACCGTGAATAAATAACTAATTTGGGCAAAGAAACATAAAGTTAAAGAGAGAAAGAAGTTAGGGTGTCATTGCAGCCATTCCTGTGTCCTTATATTATGTGATATCTGGACATGCAACCGCAGCCATGTACATAATTTAATTTCATGAAACTTAAGGATTTCGGACTACTATACTGAGGGGTATCCTGTTGTTTTTGTGCAAAATTTTGGAATACGGATGCTACCACATAGGAGTCACCATAGCATTTTTGTTGGAGTTGTGACAATGGAGTTACCATGGCATTTTTGTTACAACTTACACTGTCGTACTTGATATTGCTCATCTTTTTCTTATCCTCTGTTAAACATTTTTGGCCCTTAATTCTTAATATCCCACCCTTAGAAAATATGTTGCTTTCTTAATATCCCACCCTCTGCCAAATATTTATGTGAATGCAGAGCAAAAAACCATGGTGATTCTGGAGACATGAATCACATTGTTACATTATTTATCCAACTTGCCACACGTTTGGAAGATAGTTCTAAGCCTTATCATGAAAGAGATGAGATTATGAAGAATTGGAAAGATGATTCACCTGCTGGGTTTGGCCACACTACCTCAAAGTATAAGAAGAAGCTCAACAAAGTGAGTGAAAGGAAAAAAATTAGGAGTAATGGTACCTTCTCGAATAATGGTGGTTCTGATTATGGAGAATATGCATCTGATCGAGAAATCAGAAAGCGCTTATCCAGGTTGAATAAAAAATCCATGGACTCCGGAAGTGAGACGTCCGATGAACTTGACAGGTCTTCTGAAGAAACCAAGACTGATAGTGACAGTACTGCCTCGGACTCAATAAGTGACTCTGATTTCCAATCAGAAAGTGGATTAGGGGGGTCAAGAGGAGATGGATACTTAATTGCAGATGATGGGTTTGATCCTCTGACTGATGAACGTGAATGGGGTGCTCGAATGACCAAAGCAAGCCTTGTTCCTCCTGTTACTAGGAAATATGAAGTAATTGATCAATATGTTACTGTAGCCGATGAGGAGGAAGTGAAAAGGAAGATGCAGGTTTCCTTACCTGATGATTATGCTGAGAAGCTCTGTGCTCAGAGAAATGGCACTGAGGAGTCAGATATGGAGATTCCTGAAGTTAAGGATTATAAACCTAGAAAACAGCTTGGAGTTGAGGTGATAGAACAAGAAGTTTATGGCATAGATCCTTACACTCATAATCTTCTACTCGATTCTATGCTGGAGGGATCGGATTGGACGATTCTTGATAAGCATTTGTTTGTTGAAGATGTTCTCCTTCGCACTCTGAATAAGCAGGTGCTGCACTTCACGGGCACTGGAAACACTCCTATGATGTATCCATTGCGGCCAGTTATTGTGGAGATCCTAAAAACTGCAGAGGAAGATCATGATTTCCGAACTATACGACTTTCTGAATGTATTCTGAAGGCCATTGATAGTCGTCCTGAGGACAATTATGTTGCTTATAGAAAGGTATGCACTACAGTTATGAATGAGTGAATTGAAAATCAGTCTTGATTTCCGTCTGTTTTTGTGATAGTTAACTTTGGCGATCTTTTTTCTTCTATTAAGTGCTGATTCTATTTTTGTATTTGTCCATTGGGATGTGTTGATCAGGGGCTTGGTGTTGTTTGCAACAAAGAAGGTGGGTTTGGCGAAGATGATTTTGTTGTGGAGTTTTTGGGCGAGGTATGGATGCATATTTTGTTCATTAGTGTTTAGTCTGAGTGAGTTTTCACTGGATGTAACATATTGATGTCAGACTTCTGATTTTTTTGAGTAATGAGAATGTAGGCTGCTGTTGGTAATTGTCTCTAATGCCATTGTTATATCTCCAAACAACTTATCCAGTCCTAATAAATGTGGATTCTGTTTCGTCATGACCGGCTGACTGCATGTTTAGCTTGTCAGTTTTTCCTGCATAGTTTCTGTTTATATGACTGATTTCTTGCTGTTTGGAATGATACTTGCTACTTCAAGTGATTGTATTTTTGGTAACATGTTGAGCACTTGGATTCTATTATGCACATAGTTTGGGAATTTGATGCCTCCATATGGAACTAGTCTCACAGCATATAATTGACCTTATTAAGTCATAGAAGATATTTGTACTGTGCAAACCTACTTCATACCATGATAGAGCTATTTTTATTATGAAAGGGATCTGGATTGAAATGCATTCACATATCTTGAAACTGGGCTGCTTGCTTTATGAGTTCCTTAAATTTGTATGTTGCTGAAACTTTTGTTGAGGTCTTCTTCCTTCTGATAAATTTAGGTTTATCCTGCTTGGAAATGGTTTGAGAAGCAAGATGGTATTCGTTCTTTGCAAAAGAATAGTAAAGATCCTGCGCCAGAGTTCTATAATATTTATCTTGAGAGGCCAAAGGTGTGGTTTACAATTTACTAGAATAAATTTTGTGCTTTGAGCTTATTACAGCCTTTTGTTTCTTCTTGGTTATTTGAACATATTCCTTTGATGATTCTGATCATGTGTTCGTATTTGGCAGGGTGATGCTGATGGGTATGATTTAGTAGTTGTTGATGCAATGCACAAAGCAAACTATGCAAGTCGGATTTGTCACTCATGTCGCCCTAATTGTGAGGCAAAGTAAGTTTCCGTTCTAGCAATAAATAATTTTATTTATCTCCTTTATGAGTGAAAATGCATGGGCACCAGAGATCAAATTTGTTTTTCAAGTTCACCTTCTGTCATTTGATGATTTCCCCCCCTACATGATCGAGTAATTGTAGTTATCAGATATGATGCATGCTCAATTCTCCTCTTTGTTAAAGCAGAGTTACTGCTGTTGATGGGCAGTACCAGATTGGAATCTATTCTGTACGTCCAATTGAATACGGTGAAGAGATCACGTTTGATTATAATTCTGTGACAGAGGTGTGTGTCTTTAGCTTGTCGAGTTTTTGAATATAATTTCTGTAATTATTTTTATTATTATTATTATGGCAATTTATGTATGCTCATTATGCCAGAGTAAAGAAGAATACGAAGCATCAGTTTGTTTATGTGGGAGCCAGGTTTGCCGTGGGAGTTACTTGAATCTGACAGGTGAAGGAGCCTTTCAGAAGGTACACGCTTGAATAAACTTTTCTTAATGTTATTTTTTCATGTCGAGTTAAAATTGTATTAGAAGTGCATCAGGGGGATGCAACCCATGCACCAGTCAGAGACCTGAACCGAAGTCTCAAATGGCTCTACAAAAAATATGCACCTTAAAAAACTAAATTAGCAAAAAAACTTCAAAATTTGGTCCAGGCTAGGTTTAAACCCCCCTGGATAACCATCTCTATTCAAAACTTCTCTTAATTGTAATTCCAGTGTGAGGATCGCATCATGTCTTGTCAGCTGGACCCCAAAAAAATGAAGACGGAGAAAGTATTAGTCAGTCCTAGGGAGCTTGGGTTTCACCTGACTTGTACTAAAGGTTTACTGGATTAGCATTCTGGCTGTACCAGCTATATTAAATTAATATTTTCTTGTTGAGGTCACTGCATCCAAAGGCCATATAGGTTTTTCCTTTTCTATTGAATTTAAATCAGATTTATTTTCTTCTAACTGAATTCTGATGTGCACTAGGTGCTGAAGGAGGGGCATGGGATACTGGATCGACACCACTTGTTACTAGAGGCTTGTGAATTAAATTTTGTATCTGAAGAAGATTATATTGACTTGGGTAGGGCTGGTTTGGGAAGTTGTTTACTTGGGGGATTACCTGATTGGCTGATTGCTTACTCAGCTCGACTGGTATATATCTATGCTATACATAGCTTGGGTTTGTGGGTTTAACCTTTTAAAGATTCTGTTTGTCTGACACATTCATCTTGTGTGAAGGTGAGGTTTATCAATTTTGAACGAACTAAGCTTCCTGAGGAGATTCTGAAGCATAATTTGGAAGAGAAGAGGAAATACTTTGCAGATATCTCCATTGAAGTTGAGAAAAGTGATGCTGAGGTCCAGGTGAATGTTTTACTGACAGCAACCCCCCGTTCCTGAGCTTAGACTCAAGTATTGTACATGTGAGGGTATTCTCTCAATTACAATCTTTGATATTCATCCTTTTTCTTTTTGCATGAGACAGGCTGAGGGAGTCTACAACCAAAGGCTTCAGAATTTGGCTCTTACTCTTGACAAGGTGGCTGTCTCTCTTTTTTTTTTTTTTCCAATTTACATCTCTCTTTCATAAGAAGGGAGCATCTATGTTGTTAAATTTCGGACCCTAACTTTGACTACCTAAGCTTGTTGGTGGATATATACATGAATGATCAAAGATGGCTCCTGTGAAAACAAGTTCTATAATTTAAATCTAATGCTGTGTTTGGATCTTGGATTGGTATATGTATTTGTAGATGGAAAAGACAAGGGAGGGGAAAAGTGAGAGGAAAAAAAAAAAAAAAACCCTTATATTTCATTCACTTTTCCCTTCCCTTGTCCTTTCTATCCCTCTACAAATCCATGATCCAAACACAGGCTGAGGAGTGGGGACCTTTCCCGAGTCCAGATACATAGTCTTCTGTTTGTTATAAGTTGGGATCAGTGATCCTGAGTTAATTTCCTGTCCACGATATTTTATGCTGAATGAGGTCTTGGCGCTTGAATTGAAGGTTTTCATTATAAGAAATGAAAAATGGTCAGAACTTTTTATATTTTTTAACATTTCCAATGCCTTTTACAGGTCAGATATGTCATGAGATGTGTTTTTGGCGACCCGAAGAAAGCTCCACCACCACTGGAGAGGTTGAGTCCTGAAGCGGCAGTTTCCTTTCTCTGGAAAGGGGAGGAATCACTTGTAGATGAACTTATTCAGTGCATGGCTCCTCATACGGATGATGACCTGCTAAATGACCTCAAGTCCAAGATTCGTGCTCATGATCCATCTAGTTCTGATGATATCCAGAAGGAGCTTCGGAAATCTTTAATATGGTGAGTCATGTGCTCTTTCTTCATTTTAGCATGTTTATTTTGGTAGAACATGCAAATCTCATGGAGCTTGTTCATTCTTGTTTTAGGTTGAGGGATGAGGTTCGAAATCTTCCATGTACATATAAGTGTAGGCATGATGCTGCTGCTGATTTGATTCACATTTATGCTCATACAAAGTGCTTCTTTAGAGTGCAGGTGGGTCTTGTAATCATCTTTATTTCATTTTTCAAACTTTTTGAGGAATTTTTAGTTGTTAGTGGTGTTGCCCTACTTGGCCTACATCTGATTTTATTTGTGCCTGCAGGAATACAAGGCCGTAACTTCCCCACATGTTTACATTAGTCCTCTTGACCTCGGCCCCAAGTACACTGATAAGATGGGGTCAGGTTTCCAAGAGTATCAGAAGAAGTACGGTGTAAATTATTGTTTAGGGCAGCTGATTTATTGGCATAATGCTACTAATGCCGAGCCAGATTGTAGCTTAGCCAAATCGAGTAGGGGTTGCCTGTCATTACCTGACATTGGTTCCTTTTATGCCAAGGTCCAGAAGCCATCTCGACACCGGGTTTATGGCCCAAGGACTGTGAAATTCATGTTGTCAAGGATGGTGAGTTTTAATTTTTGTTTGCTTCATAATTATTTGCTATATATATATATATGTATGTATCCGGCTTACAAGTTGACTCAATCGATGCTTCTCCCACTCTTAACAAAATGCGATTCTTCACTAGGCAAGCTTTCTTTTTGGGCAGATAAACTTGTGAGTTTCTTTAGTTGTAGAGCATTTAGGGTTTAGGGTTCATTTCATATTGTGGGCTGAAAGATGAAGTAAAACACTAAAAACTAATAAAATTTTCAAAAACGGTAATTATTGCCATATTGTTTTGTAGAAAATTTAATGTATAAAGAGAAATAGAGAATTGTATTATTGATTGATATTAATGTTCTATTTATTACAATGATTCATGATTCCTATATATAGAAGAGGGTGAGTGTGTAGTAGGTAAGGAGTAGGTGAAGTGGAGGTGGTAGTGGTGTAGTGGGTTAGGTTTAGTGGAATAGGTTTAAGTGGGTGAAGTAGGTGATAGGTTTTAACAGCCCCCCGCAAACTCAAGGGGGATAGGAACTAGCCAACTTGAGTTTGGAGAGAGTTACAAAACAAGAAAATACATAAAAATAAAAGAGGATAAGAGACACTGTATGGTCGTGTCAGACCATTGGTGAAGACACTGGATGGTGGTGTCATAACGTTGTAGAGGACACTGTATTATCAATTTTCATATGTTTATTTATCTATAAGTCATGAAATTATTTTTTTTAAATAATTTTTAAAATTTTTATCTTTATCTATAGGTCATGAAATAAATTTTCATAAATTATTTATGAATTTTATATGTTTATCTATAATGAAATTAATTAAAGTACGAAATGAGGGAGAGAAAAAAAAGAGAGTAATTTTGTTTTTTTTTTTAAAAAAAAAAATCAATTATTTAATCTTTATCTTTATTTGTAGGCCATGAAATTAATTTTTATAAGTTATTTATCAACTTTTATTTGTTTATTTATGGGAAGAAATTTTAAATTATCTATAAGTTATGAAATTAATTTTTTTAAATTAATTGTTTATTTTTTATCTTTATCTGTAGATTATAAAATTAATTTTCAGTTTTTATATGTTTATCTATATGGAGGAATTTTGAAATTCAAATCTTTATCCATAAGTAATGAAATTAATTTTAATTTTAATTAATCAAACAAATAAAAAATGAAGAAAAATAGAAAACATGAAAGACAATCAAAGAAGGTTGCCACATAGGAAAGAGAGTGTTTTAAAATTATGAGAATTTGAGAATAAATATTTGGAGGCTTTTGACAAAACAACTATATTTGGTTATATATATAATATAGATGGGAATCTCACACTCTTTGAGAAATATTAATTTTTTATGAGTAAAAATAATAATTTGGACCACAATATTCAAACATTTCTTATTTTCTTATTGAGGATTTTAAACTGAACTAAAAATGCTTGAATAGCATTGACATAAAGTTTAGGTTTAAGGATTGTTGCTATAGCTTAGAAATTACTTATAATTTTTTTTTAAAAAAATAAAAATTAAAAATTGCTTTAGAATTTTTATAAGGAAAAAAAATTGGTTACAGTTTCGGGTTTAGTATTTTTTTTTTTTTACAACTTATAAGGGAAATAAGCCAAAAATAATAAGTATTAAAAAATACCAGGAGATGTGTTTTTTGTTTTGTTTTTTGTTTTTACTTTTAATTTGCTAAAAACTGCACTAAATAAACCCAATAACCTCTTCTTATAAAAATAAAAAATAAAAAAATAAATAAAAACTAATTTGATAAAAATAAATATTAAAAAAAATTTAAAAATATTTTTAACGTCTTAAAATATAAAATTATATAAAAATAATAAGCATTTTTAATTTTTTTAATTCTTTTACCAAATTAATTTTTAATCTTTTAGAAAACAATTTGTAGCAAGTTTTTTAAAATTAAACCAAACATAATGTGTTAAGAAAATTGATTGATACATCGAATTTGAACCGTTTGAATTGTGTAAATTTTGTAAGCCGGACGGTTGGTGTAATCTTTGTTAATTGCGGTTGTTATTATTGTCAACTGTGGTTGTCATTTTTGTTTTCAGATGACTGGTCAGATATTTTTGTTTCCAGATGACCGGTCAGACGATTGAAATATAGAAATTTAAGTGAACGAAAATTCAATGAATGTAACATTGCTCTTCTATTAAACGAGTGTTTTAGTATTTATGGCAGACGAAATTACAAGATACATTTCAGATCATTATTACTAGTTGGAATTTTCAATTTGAATTTGAGCAAACGGCTATAGCTTTGAATCTATATTTCAAATCTAATATTTTGTACTTTTTTTTATTATTTTCTTAAATTAATCAAATATGGAAATAAAATTGTTGATGAAAAAATCATTTCATTTCATTCTAATGAACTAAGCATTATCTTACCGAACACTATTTTAGTGGCATGGTCTTACTATTTATGCGGTGTGAGTAGATGAATTTGAATCACACTTTACTCTGCCAAAAAAAATTGTATCCCTTCTGTCACTGTTGTATTTGTTGTAGAACTTGGAAATACATTTTCCTTTTGTGCATGTGAATATATATATATATATATAGAGAGAGAGAGAGAGAGAGAGAGAACACCTATTGGAAAACAAATGGTTACTTTTTCTAAGAAAAAAAAAATATTCTCCTTTTTGAAGTGCTACCCATTGGGATCAGGTGACTCCTTCCCGTGTAAGAAGCAAAGAATCTATTGAAGTAGGGTTATTTGGGTGATTTTATTTAAATGCAATAAATATTTTATTACAATAATTTGTACAACATTTTCTATATATAATGTACAATATTACAGTGCATGTTATTGATGTAATGAGAAATTTATTGTTTGAAATGAAATCATAAAGTCCGAGGATTTCATTGGGATTTGGACTAGAGTTTTACAGTCTTTACTTGGGTGTATTATAGTAGGAGTAGAAATATACAAATAATTAATCATATAAAATTATTATGCAAAACAACATGATTTGTTATGATATTTTCTTCTAAAAGCACAACATTTATTATTGTGATCATGATTTACAAGCATGATGGTAATATTAATCTATAAGTAAATTCTATATAAAATTTTTGAACATTAATCGAATAAAATGATTTTCAAATCGAGATTTTTTTTTTCCCCTCACATCTACAATGAAAAATGTACTCATAGAAGGAAAATTATACAATAGTTCTGGAGTATTACGTGACTATATTTTCTCGCTAATCACCTTTTCATTATGTCCCTTCGTGTAATACGCGTTTTCAACCAACCATACTACATGAGGCACCACATAATCATATTTCCGGACTACCGAATAATCACTAATATTGCAAATCCTTATTAGTAAGAGGCAAAAGATAAAAAGTCCCTTCACTATTCAATTTTGTATTTAATGTTTTTTTTATTGGCAAAAAGAGAAATTTATTGATGACATTGAGTTGAATGCAAAAGAAGGTACTATCTGGTGATTCATCTTTGGTAGATGCATAAGTTATTACTCAGCCAGGAAAGCCCTTAGCTGGTTATATACATTACACAATTGAAGAAAGTACCCACTTTCCTTGTTACCCCATCAATGGAATACAAACACAAGAAGAAAAAGAAGATAAAGAAGGCACTAAAGGCAAAAGCAAAATAAAGTTTGCTAGTGTTAATGGACAAAAGAAGCTTTTCCAAGAATTATCATCAGCTAATCTCACTTGCATGTCTTTTATTTTATAATTAATACAGTTGTACATGCACTTTATTCATGCACTCTATATATATGTGTGTGTATCCCCAACTTTGTTCACATTCCCCTTCCCATCTAGACCTTAGCACCGAGAGAGAGTATTCCAAACTCAATTCTTTTCCTTCTTGGCAACTACCTTGAAGATAGCCATATTCCCAAAAAAAAAATGGCTAGAATGGTTGGCATTTTTGTATGTCTCTTGATTGTTATGATGGATATTGCAGCAGGCGTACTTGGAATCAAAGCCGAAGCTGCTCAAAACCGGGTATTTTACACACATACTATTGTTTAAATAGCCAATGATTTTATGAGCCAAGATTTTATTTTGAAAATTTGGTAGTGTAGGTTGTGGTAGCTGTGGTAAAATGTGATGGCATTGATAAGATTTTATTTTGAATTTTTTTTGCTTAAATAAATAATTTTTTTTGTTAATCACATAGAAAGTTTTTTTTTGTGAAACCAAACGACTAAAAAAATGTGTTTGTATTGAAACAGACTAAACATGTGAGACTATGGTTATTTGAGTGCAAAGACCCAAGCCATGAAGCCTTCAAATTAGGGGTAGCAGCAATCACCCTTTTGAGCCTGGCCCATGTTCTTGCCAATTGGATTGGTGGTTGCAGCATTTGTACACGAGAGGAGTTCCAAAAAGCATCCCCTAGCAAGCAATGCTCATTGGCTTGCCTCTTTCTTACCTGGTATGTCAATGACAAGTTTACGATTACAGAATCGATTACATAATCGGTTATAAAAAATAATTGATTTTGTATTTTCTGTCACTCAATACTTATTCGGTATGCGAATGCTTTAGTTTGTGATAACCGTGATTGAATTTATGGTGTTGATTGTCATTCATCAGGGTAGCATTGGCTATTGCATTGGCCTTGATGGTTATTGGGACAAAGTCAAACCACAAGTCAAGAACTACATGTGGGTTCACACATCATCACTATTTGTCCCTCGGAGGCATTTTGTGCTTTGTTCATGCAGGGTTCTCTGTTGGTTATTACGTTACTGCCACTGCTGCATTTGGTTAATAAATAAACAATGCATGAAGGTCATCATCCTTGGAGTTTTTATTTTATATTTTATATTTTATTTTGTGACAAATTCGTTATTACGTTATTTTATTTTATTTTATTTTATTTTAGCTGCAATTTTCTTTTTAATTGACATGTAAGACATTGACAGAAGTTGAAACATTGCATATCTTTTTTTATCTTTTAACTTTTGTAGATTAAACCCAAATAATGGCTAAAATACATGGTTTATTCACAAAGTATATGTTTTGTGTCAATTTTGTTCACTTTAGTCTCCAATGTATGAAATTTGTGGATAGAAGGTCCATTTGACCCTTTTTCATCTATATTTATTGGAAAAAAGCAAGGTTATTTTTGACAAAACATATTAACACAAGCCTAAAAATAAAAATAAAAATGCAGTTGGCAAATATTGATGTTTTCTATCTAAAATACTCATATATTAGAGAATTTGATACAATTAAACCTTGACAAATTAAGTAAAATAATTTAACCTATTAATATCATCTCTTATTTACTATTGTTAATGTAAATTGTAAATTGTCAACATACCTACTCCACCTACCACCTCCACTTCACCTACTCCATCTACCACCTACTACCACCTACTCTTCTATATATATAAGAATCATTGTAACATTCAAGATATCAATCAATAACAAACATCAATATATACACAATTTATTCTCTCTTTTTCTCTTTCTCTATCAATTTATCTTACATGGTATCAGAGCTAAGTTAAGAACTTAGTATTTTTCGCTTCACTGGCGGGCGGCAACCTCGCCTTGGCCGCTTGCCGGACCTCAACCTAGTCCGCTAGAATTTTCTACACATACCTTCACTCTTCTTCACCACCTCGTCGGACAAACCCAAATTTCTTAATTTCTTCTTCAATGACAGATTCTTCAACAACACTTCACCACCGCAGCACCAGTCCAAATCACACACCCAGACCCACCTCCAACTATATCCATAGTCGCATAAGCAGTACAAGAACAGTTTCTCTTACAAACCATTTCACAATCCGAAAGACTCATACTCTGATTCATAAAAGCACTCGAAGTCTCTAGCAATTTCATATTCTTCAAAGTCAAAAAAACCCATCAGTCTCACAATTCAATTCCCCAATTCTCACACACCCATCAGACCCATCTCTCAAATTCCACGCCTGTAAATTCTTTGGCTCAAATCCAATCATACAGTTACATACAGGCGAATCATTAGTATTACAGACCATAAACACCACATTCCATATAACTATCGCATTGATCTTTCGGTGCGTACCAGTATAGATTCCATACTTGGCTCGTTTCGATCCATGTGTATCTTTGTAAAACGCCAGATGGGTTCACCAACAATCTCGAATACACAGACTTGTCATTAATGTCGAGCTTGAATTCATAGTCTCCAGAAGACGGATCATCGCTGGTCTTCCATGGGGTCAAGTACCTGTTCAGCCCGGTTTTCGCATCCCTGCCAAAGTCAAAAGGCCTCCTCTCTGCAACAGCTTCCCGAGTTTCACGCACTTCTTTGCAGCAAACTCCTTCAACACATCTTCGAAGCTGATGAGCCGATAAACTTAACCACTCCGATCACCGCCAATAACCACCACAACAGCCGCCGCAGAAGCACCGCGCCGCTGCCACCAGTGTGCCACCGTAATCTTCTCCACCCACAGCTTTATCTCCGTCGCTCCATCTTCTTCTTCTTCGACTGCTGGTGTTCCGTCGTCATTCCACTCACAGATTGTTCACAATCGCAATGCATTCTACACTGAATGCCTGGAGATAAACATGGGGCAAAAACACAAAGACACACAGATACACATACATTGTACCTCTCCCTCTCTCTGGTTATCTATCTCTGGTCTGACCAAACACACTATTCCCACTAACCTTTTCTTTAAATCCATCCTTCACTCACATGGGCTTGTTCCCATTCTCCCCTCCTCTTTTCAACTTTTCTTTAAATTTTTAATTCGAACATGCACTGCAGAATGTTGCATGCTTTATGTTGTTAAAAAAAAAAAAAAACTAACATTCACAAACCATCATCATATTTTCCACCGCCCAAACATTCTTTATCTTATATATATATCATATTTTCCACCGCCCAACTTTTTATCTTTTATTACAACAAAAAAAAAAAAAAAAAAAAAAAAAAAAATTCTTTTCATCACATCTCATTTTTTTCTGCTGTTCAGGTCTTGTACCTTCAAAGCATTCGGATTTTGCACAACAACCCATATTTTATTCATCTCAGGGATCAACCCCGATCACAATTTTACACACACAAAAAAAAAAAAAAAAACAAAAACAAAAAACAAAACAACAAAAAAAAAAAAAACAACCAAACAACAACAAACAAACAAAAACAAAACAACCACACCCACAGTGGGATTTTTCCCTTCTCTACTCTCGCGCCGGTCTCTTCTTCTTGCCTCCGTCCTGGCGGCCCTTGACGTGCTGCCTCTGTGTTTTCCACGCGCCGCCGAGGCACGTTCACTCCCCATACTCCCTCACTGCAGCATATGGCGGACCTCCAAATCGGAACATCACGGTGGCCTTCCGCTTCAGCTCCTTGTTTTTCGCCTTTAGCACACTTATCTCTGCTCGCGCATCCTTATACATGCGTTGGAGCAGAGCTAGTTGGGCGTTTAACTGTTGCCCCTCATTTGTCCTACTCTGAAGCCGGTGCGACAAGTTTGTGACCGCAGTCATGGTCTCCACACATGACTTCAAAGTATACTGATTGGCCTCAATATCCGTTTGCACCGCCATTTTTTGCTCCACAGACCGCATCGGAAAGTTCAACGGAGCAAAACTAGAGGTATTTGGTTGAGGTTCACTGGCCACCGCTCTAGTTATTTCTCTTGTGGACTCGTTCAGTTCAGGAAAGAGCGTGAGCAGACCACGGGAAGAGGATGCCATGTTCTGGGTAGCTGGACGGGAAGAAGAGGCCATGTTATGGGTTGCTGAGTGTTTCAGAGAAGGGTTGGTTACAGAATGTTTACAGAGTGTTTTAGAATACTAATGTTCAGAGGTTTCAGACTGGTTTGCACAGCCTCCGCCTCAACCTTGGTTTAAATAGCCAAGGCAGACACGCGCATCATGCGCCGCTCGGCGCTCGACGACAACCTGGGCACGCCTTTTGATGGCACGCCTTTTGATGACACACCTTTTTATGGATTGGGCACGCCTTTTGATGGCACGCCTTTTGAAAGAGGGCGCGACTTTCGAGGGCTCGATATATCTATCTACATGTATATCTTTTGGGCAGCCTATCTACACCCTCATACAGTGTCTTCTACAACGGTCCGCTTTATCACTTCCTTTGTTTCAACCTCAAATAGATTTCTCTCTTCACACCTATTTGAGTTTGAGGGGGGGTTATACATATATCATGTATCATGGTGAGCATGGTTACACACCATGGGAACCACCCAAGCCACCCCATGGCGCACTTCCTAAGTCGCCCCCTTGGTACACCACCACAAGCTTCTACATCGGTCCGACATGACCCCGTAAACTGTCCCGACATTGATCCCGGTCAGCTTTTACAACGGTCCGACATGACCCCATAAACTGTCTTCTACATCGGTCTGACACAACCACACAGTGTCTGCTACAATCAGTCTGGCATGATCTCGTAAACTGTCCTGCTACATCGGTCCGGCATGACCTCGTAAACTGTCCTGCTATAACGGTCCGACATGACCCCGTAAACTGTCTTCTACACCGGTCCGACATGACCCCATAAAGTGTCTCCTACAACGGTCTGACACGACCATACAGTGTCTCCTATCCCATTTTTAATTTTATTTGTCAGCTTATTTTTCTGTTTTGATATTCTCTCTAAACTCAAGTTGGTTAGTACCTATCCGCCTTGAGTTTGAGGGGGGCTGTTAATGTAAATTATAAATTGTCAACATACCTACTCCACCTACCACCTCCACTTCACCTACTCCACCTACCACCTACTACCACCTACTCTTCTATATATATAGGAATCATTGTAACATTCAAGATATCAATCAATAACAAACATCAATATATACACAATTTATTCTCTCTTTTTCTCTTTCTCTATCAATTTATCTTACAGCTATTATGTCACATCCTCCGTCATGTAATATTGAATGGATAATGCAAGATTGAAGAAATTTGATCCTTTGCTGAAATAGCTTGATCTCGAATGGTGAGCCAAACGATTCTTGAATTTAGATTGCCATGAAGTAAATGATAAATCTCTACAATTTTTTTTTATATATAATGTTAGTCTTCAAAAGGAAAAAGTTTTATACACGAGTAGGGGACTAGTTCAAAAGTGCAAGTTTATTTTAAAAAAAAAAAAAAAAAAAAAAAAAAAAAAAAAAAAAAAAACTCCCTTTTTAATTTGTTGGCATACCCATGTTCTTCTTCTTAATTTTTGTATGTTTGGTTTGATTATTAGAAAAAAAAAAAAAAAAAAATCTGACTTTTTTTTTTAAAAAATGGAAATTAATTTGATAAAAAAAAATTAAAAAGATATTTTAAAAAATTATTTATGATTTTTCAAAAGATAAAATTATATAAAAATAATAAGTATTTTTGACATTTTGATTTCTTTCACGAAATTATATTTTAGTTTTTCAGAAAAAAATTCTAAAATAAATTTTTGAAAACTAAACGAAATATCACCTTTGTGTTTAGAGGCATCGCGAGAAGGAGAATTTTCGAATTTGGAATTCTCAAATTAATGCCTTTGATTGCTAATTATATGAGAAATTTGTACTCATTGACTTTTGATAATAAATTGATGATTTATTTTTAAAATTATTTTTATTATCTATTTTGTGGAATAATATCATAAATATATGTAATTATAGTTATCTGATTAATCTCATTTATTTAAAGAATTATTTACGTGAACAATTGAACAAATAAATTGTATAGATTGTTGGTGTGCTTCTCAAGCCCCAAACAACACGTTCCAGTCTACATGACTTCCCTTCCCCTTCCCCTTCTAGTCCGGCGAAAGCTACGAAACATGCACTTATGTGAGGGCCTCCAAAGTCTTAAGTAAAAGTCTTCGAGTCACCAACTGAAAATTTTCCAATTTCCCTACTTTCAAACTATAGAGGATTAAAGTCTAAAATGTCGGTAATGACTTGACTATGCTCTGTGATTCGAGGAGGCATTCACAATTCTCACCCACACCATGAAGAGAAGCAACAGGACATCGATGAAAGGCTCTTCCATACCTTCTTTCCTCTACTCTTTAACTTTCTCCATCTTAACAATCTCCATCAACGCATTACAATTCGATACCATTACCAAAACCCAATTCATTACAGATGGTGACACCATAGTCTCACCTAATGGCAGCTTTGAATTGGGTTTCTTCAGCCCCAGCAATTCCCAGAATCGATACCTGGGAATATGGTACAAGAAAATTTCAACTGGGACTGTAGTTTGGGTTGCCAACAGAGACACCCCAATCCCTGATAAAACTGGTGTCTTGAAGATCACTGACCCTGGAATTCTAGCTCTTCTCAATGAATCCAATCACACCATATGGTCTTCCAATTCCTCAATCTCCCCACAGAACCCAGTTGCTCGACTTCTCGAATCAGGCAATCTTGTTGTGAATGATGAAAGAAACCCTGATACAGAGCATCTCCTCCTCTGGCAGAGTTTTGATTATCAGGGTAATACTTTCTTACCCGGTATGAAGATTGGGAAGAACTTTGTGACTGGTAAAGAATGGTACCTCTCGTCTTGGAAGACCAAGGATGATCCATCTCAAGGCGGGTACACATACCGGTTGGATCTTCGCGGGTATCCGCAAATTGTTGTGAGCAATGGTTCCACTGATCTGTTTCGTTCTGGGTCCTGGAATGGAGTCCTATTCGGTGGGCCAAAATTTAGACCCAATCCAATTTACAAATTCCAAGTGGTTTTTGAGAAGGACCAGGTGTATTATAGTTATGAGCTAATTAACAGCTCTGTTGTTTCGAGGTTGGTTTTGAATCCGAATGGCCTTGCAGAGCGAACGACATGGATTGATCAAGCCCACGGTTGGGTACATTACCTGACCGTTCCACAAGATAATTGTGACACTTTTAAATTGTGTGGTCCATATGGTATTTGTAACATTGATACTTCCCCTGTTTGTGGTTGTTTGAGTGATAAATTTGTGCCCAAAGACTCTAAAAATTGGGATATGACAGATTGGTCGAGTGGGTGTATTCGGAGGACACCATTGGATTGCCCGAGTGATGGGTTTGTCAAGTTTTCTGGTCTAAAAATGCCAGACGCACGACAATCCTGGTATAACACTACCATGACACTTGATGAATGCAGAGAGGTATGCTCGAAAAATTGCACTTGCACGGCTTATACAAATTTAGACGTGAGAGGCAGTGGAAGCGGCTGCTTGCTTTGGTTTGATGACTTGATTGATTTGAGAGTGTTCAGTGACAATGGGCTTTATATTTACATCAGGATGGCTTCCTCCGATTCAGGTAAGATTTACATATCAACACTGCAACGTGCACAGAAAAATACATAGAAACATGACCGTGGTACAATTTCCATATCTAGTTATCAACACAAAAAAATAGTTATCCTATTAGCTCATTCTTTATAAGCTTGCAAATAACACACTTTACCTTTTTCATTTTCATTTTTTCAAGTTACAGTTTAACAAAAAGAGATTTCAATAAGTTTGTCTTGACATTGATTTAAGTAGAAAGGTTTTAATGGGTTTCAAGCCTGTGGTAATTTTCAGTGCTGCTAAATTTGTGCTTTCATGGTTGTACCATTAGATTGAGTTGAACATTTTGTTTGAATGAAGATTCAACAGGCCAACAAGTTGTCTACCATAGCAACAAGAGAACGATAATCATCTTGAGCTTGGCATTGTTCTTTGGGTTGCTACTAATTGGTCTGAGCCTTGCCTTTTATGTCCGGCAAAAGAAGAAGAAATATTCGCACCTAAATAGAGAAGGTGACCCAAATGAGTGATTTGTGTTTTAATTACATACCAAATATATATATATATATATATATATTAAAAATGCTTGTCTTGTATGTTCTGTGACAATGTGTTGGAGCAAGCTGTCTCAGCTGAATCCACTTAATCATCGCCCATATTGCAGGACGTATGGAACACAACTCCGAACAAACTTATCCTAACAAAAGCCAGAAGGAAGATCTAGAGTTGCCATTGTTTGACTTAGCTACAATAGTTGATTCTACAAATAACTTTTCAATCGATAATAAGATTGGACAGGGTGGATTTGGAACTGTTTACAAGGTAATATTGTAGTCTACTTACAAGGCAATTCTTCTGTCACTACTTTTCCAAACTTCTATGTTTCAATGCAAAACCACCAATCTGGAGTATGAAATTGACACCTGCTAGAGGATTCAGAATGGACCTAAAATTTGAGCTCTGCTTGTTTAACAGTATACTGGGTGAAAAACAAAAACAAAAACGGAGACAAACAAACCAAAAAAAAAAGAAAACCCTTATAAGTTTGAAGACTATTCTATCGATAAAATTGGTTATTTCAGGGAATGTTGGAAGATGGACAAGAAATAGCAGTTAAGCGGCTCTCAGAGAATTCGAGACAAGGAATTAAGGAGTTCAAGAATGAAGTTATTTGTATTGCCAAACTTCAACACCGAAATCTTGTAAAGCTTTTAGGATGCTGTATTCAAGAAGAAGAAAATATCTTGGTCTATGAATACATGCCAAATAAAAGCCTAGACTCCTTCATTTTTGGTAATACTACAGCACTCTTCCACTCTCAGACCAACATTCTTACTTTCTTCTTCTTCTTCTTCTTCTTCTTCTTCTTCTTCTTCTTCTAATTTTAATCCGTTTAGCTCCATACAAAACTTATAAATTAACTGAACAGGGATCAAAATCATATGGTTTTGTTGTACATGTGCATCTACATGAACTTGGTCTTCCAAAATTAATATATATATATATATATTGATAACTTCCAGAAGAATCCTGTTAAATTCAAGCATTCATTTAGCAGTATCATGGTCTAACTCAGAAAAAAAATGTGACCAGATAGAACCCAAAGAACATTATTGGATTGGCACCAGCGCTTCCAAATTATTAATGGGATTGCTCGGGGGCTTCTTTATCTTCATCAAGATTCCAGATTACGAATTATTCATAGAGATCTCAAAGCTAGCAATGTTTTGCTAGATATTGGCATGAACCCGAAAATATCTGACTTTGGAATTGCTAAAAGTTTTGGAGGAAATGAGTTGGCAGGAAATACAAAAAGAGTGGTCGGAACATAGTAAGAATCTCTACAACATGTTTTGTTTTGTCTAATTCACTTACATTGCTTCAAAATCTCATTCATCATTGAGTGCTTTGTTGTAGCGGCTACATGTCTCCAGAATACACAATAGATGGGCTATTTTCAGTAAAGTCAGATGTATTTAGTTTTGGTGTGTTGGTGCTAGAGATAATGACCGGGAAGAAAAATAGAGGATTTTGTCATCCAGATCATCACCTTAACCTCCTTGGTCATGTAAGTGTTAAAGTTAAATCTAGAAGTACTCGTATGGTATTCATTCAAATTATTACTGTTAATTTTGTTATTATGAATTTTTCAGGCATGGATACTCTATAAAGAAGGTAGGTCAATGGAATTGATTGATGAATCTCTAAGGGACTCATGCGAGCTATCTGAAGTGTTGCGATCAATCCACGTGGGTCTTTTATGTGTGCAACAATGTCCTGAAGATAGGCCGAGCATGTCAACGGTGGTTCTGATGTTGGGCAGTGATGGTGCATTGCCTCAGCCTAAACAGCCTGGCTTTTTCACTGAAAGGAATTTGCATAAGGCTGACTGTTCATTGAGTAAGGATGCTGCAAATTCAACCAGCGAAATCACCATCAGCATTTTACATGCCCGATAGAAACAGATTGTTTTGATATTTTACTTGTACTTGTTATTCTTCCTCTCAATCTAAAAATGTAAAAAATTCTTACAGAATGATATGATAATAACAATTTTTTTTTTTCAATCATCATCCATTGTAATGAACATTTTGATTTTTAATGAATGGATACAAGCAAGTTTTGGTTTTTTGTTTTGTAAATTATTTCTGAAAACAACCAAAGTTTTACCCTCTAAACTCGGATGAATTAGGATTAAAATCTTGAAAGCTGGTATTGATATGTAAGCAGAAGAAAATGATTTGCAAATCAGGACTTGCTTTAGGCCCTTTTAATTTTTGAGCATATCCATTTCTCTAATACATGTATTTGAAAAATGTACTCTGGCGAGCGTTGATTATCATTGATCACTGGCCTTGCTAGTTATTGGGACCATGTCAAACAAGAAGTCAAGAGCTACATGTGTATTCACACACCATCACTATTTGTCCCTTGCTGGTAATTGGTGTTGATATAACGGCATCTACGAATAGACATAGATCGATGTACCAAATCAAAACATTTTCCATGCAATTAGTACGACATTGATATCATCGAAACATTATAAATTGATACAATCGAAACATTAAGAATAAAAATGACCAAAATTGAATATCTTTTCAGAACTAAAAAGACAATTAACCCTAATTTATAGGAATTGGGGTGGTGGTTGTGCTCCGCTCAAGACCTACTGTTCTGCATGGGCCTCACTTTGGAGCCCATTTTGATGATTTGAATCGTCTATTTTTTCAGATATATTAAGTAGAATATAGCTACAAAAAAATTAAGTTGATCGGACATCTATAACTTTTTCATCAAATTGCATTTATGCTGGGTATACCTCCTTATTGGAGTGTGGGACCCAATTGGTGTACTAAAGGAGTTTAATTTGGTTTGGTATTAGTTATAATATATTTTTATATATTATATTTAATTTTGTGGAGACCCAATTCAGTTTGGAAATAACTAAGCTTTTGATAAAAACCCCTAGATTCACAATATATTATTGGCATTGTTTTTCCCAAGGAAAAAAGAGGTGTTGCGGCTGATACAGAGCAATTTGAAATCAATCAATTCGGTGGGAGTGCTTCGGGTATATTGCTTTGTGGAGCAGCAGCAGATTGATTTCGGTGAGATAGGCTTTGGTGCATCTTTGTTTGGGTGGTTTGGTAAAGTTGATTTGGGTCGTTATTTTGGGTTTTCTACAACTCTGATTCTGAAGATTTTAGTTCATCTATTTGGTGAGGTCTTTCCTCTTGCTTATTTGTGATTATTTAGAATTCACCTAAGGGTGGTTTTGTGAGATTATTCGTGTCTCATTTGTAATCGTTTGAAAACTTTTTGGTTGATAGTGGAATCGGATTTCGATCTCCTGGACGTACCTCACATTGAGGGAACTACGTAAAATTCTTGTGTTGCTTTTGATTTAATTTTTCCGCATTAGTTTTCATTCCCATTGATTGATTTACTTGTGGGGAACCACATATTTTCCCTAACAACTGGTATCAGAGCTTACGGTTTATTGAGGTTTATTTATTTGTGTAAATCAATGGAGGGGAATGTGAGTCGTATGTCTAGCTTCAATGGAAGCTATTGGGTAACTTGGAAAACTAAAATGGAGGACCTATTATTTTGTAAAGATTTGTATGAGCCAATTGAAGGTGATAATGGCAAAACTGATGATATGAAAGACGATGAATGAAAGAGACTTAATCGAAAAGCCGTTGGTGTTATCCGTCAATGGATTGATAACAGTGTGTTTCATCATGTTGCTACTGAAACTTCAACACATGATTTATGGAAAAAATTAGAAGGCCTTTATGATAGGAAATCGGCCACAAATAAAGCTTTTCTGTTTCATAAGTTGGTTAATTTAAAATATAAAGAGGGCAGCCCTATTCCGGAACATCTGAATAAAATAAAGAGTATTGTTAACCAACTTGCGTCTATGAAAATTATTTTTGATGATGAGTTGCAGGCTTTGATGCTACTTAGTTCTTTGCCCGAAAGTTGAAAAATTTTAGTTGTGACAGTTAATAATTCGGCACCCGATGGAGTTGTCACAATGGGCCAAGTCACTAGTAACTTGTTAAATGAAGAAACTAGAAGAAAATCACCCGGTTCCTCTCATTCGGAAGCATTTGTTGTGAGAGGTCGAAGAAAAATAAGGGGGAGGAGTAAGACTCATCATGGTCATGATCAAAGCCATGACAAATCAAAAGATGGTTCTTTTTCAAAGAAAAACATTGAGTGCTATTATTGCCATAAGAAAGGGCACATGAAGCGGGAATGCCGAAAGCTCAAGAATAAGGAGAAAAGGTGTGACAAAAGTGTGGATTAGAAGCAAGAAGACACAACGGGAGTTACTATCGATGATCTTATGGCTGTTTATAAAGATGATTGTATCAATTTTGTGGGCCAAGAGAGCAATTGGGTGATTGATTCCGGTGCTTCTTTTCATGTGACTTCTTGAGTTGATTTCTTCACTACCTACACCAAAGGAGATTATAGTTTTGTTCGAATGGGTAATGAAGGTCTGTCCAAGATTATTGGCATAGGTGATGTTTGCTTGGAAACAAATTTGGGTTGCAAGTTATTGCTTAAAGATGTGAGGCATGTTCCCGACATTCGCCTCAATTTGATCTCTACTAGGAAGCTAGATGATGAAGGCTTCAACAACAAATTTGGTGATGAAATATGGAAGCTCACAAAAAGTTCTTTGGTGGTGGCTAAGTGCAAGAAGACTCATACACTTTATTCGATGCAAGGAAAAATTTGTAAAGGTGTTATCAATGCACTTGAAGATGATACTTTTACCGAATTGTGGCACAAGCGGCTTGGCCATATGAATGAAAAGGGCCTACAAGTTTTGTTCAAGAAAGAGCTTCTACCCTATTTGAAAGGTACACATTTTAAAACTTGTGTTCATTGTTTGACGGGTAAACAATATAGAGTTTCTTTTCATAAAAATGTTGCTTTTAGAAAAGAAAATGTGTTGGAGTTGATTCATTCTGATGTTTGTGGTCCTTTGAAAGTTAGAACACATAGTGGTGCACTTTATTTTGTTACTTTCATTGATGATTATTCAAGGAAAGTTTGGGCTTTTCTACTAAATACTAAAGATTAAGTTCTAGAAGTATTTAAGTATTTTTAGGCCATAGTTGAAAGAGAAACATGGCAGAAATTGAAATGCATCCGATCAGACAATGGTGGTGAATACATTGGGCCATTTGATGGGTATTGTCGCAGCCAAGGTATTCGGCACCAAAGGACAGTTAAGAAGACTCATCAACAAAATGGCGTTGTCGAGAGGATGAACCGCATTATTGTGGAAAGAACAAGGTGTTTGCTTTCACAAGCTAAATTGCCAAGATCCTTTTGGGTTGAGGCAATGAAGACAGCGGTTGACGTAATCAATTTGTTTCCTTCCTATCCTTTGAATGGTGATGTCACAACAAAAAAATTCGTTTTTTGCGACGGGGGGCGGCCGTCGCAAATGCCCTGGAGGCCGTCGCTAATACTTTTTGCGACGGTAATGTGGCTTTTTGCGACAGTAGTGGGGGGTCGCGACAAAGGGGGTTGCAAAAGAGATTTAGCGACGGTAAGTACCGTGGCCATTAGTTTCTGCGACGGTAAGGTGTGTTTTTTGCGACGGCACTTTTCCTGTCGCCAATAATGGAAAAAAAATCTGTTTTAGCGACGGCACGTAGTTCCCGTCGCTAAAAGTGAGTTTTTGAGACGGCAACATTACCGTCGCTAAAACTCTGGCATCGTATAACTATTGGCGACGGCAACAGTTACCGTCGCTAAAGGTATCTTCAAAATTTCAATTGGACAGCTTTTGCGACTGCTTTGGGACCGTCGCAAAAGCCTATTGTTGTTTTTTGCGACGGGTTCTTCTCCCGTCTCAAAAAAAAAAAAAAAAACAAAAAAACCTGTTAAAAAATTATAAAAAAAATTAAAAAAACTTTTTTTAAAAAAAAAAAAAAAAAAAAAAAAAAAAAAAAAAAAAAACCCTTGTAAAATACATTTTACATACTTCAAAATGTATAAACCCTCTTTTATATATAATCCCTTGTTTTAAAACATTCTAGTCCCTTGTTTTTAAATATTCTAATCCACTGTTTTTACACATTCAACTCTTTGTTCTTGTTGTTCTTGCTTCTTCTTGTTGTTAAATATTGGCTTTTCTTCTTCGTATTGTTGCTACATTTCATTAAAAATCTTCTCGTTGTTATTTTTGTTCCCACGGTTCTGGATTGGAACCGATCCGGACCGTATACAAATAGTATATATTTTTATTATACATTCTTCCCATAGTATCTTCTCTTATTCTATATAAAATCGAAACTCAAACCTAAACCTTGTATAATATCTTCTTTTATTACTTTAGTTTTTTAATTTTTAGTTTTAATTTGTAATGGTCTAAATACTTATGGTGAAACCAATTTTTTTATG